AGGGGGACCCCGGAGGGTTGTGGAGGGGCCGGGTGGCGTGAGCATCCCCCTGCGCGGGAGCGTGCACACAAGTGCGTGCGAGGGTGTGCATCTGGATGTGAGACGTGACATGTAAGCGTGTGCATGTGTGCTTGTGCACACAGGCCCGTGAGCATGCGCGAGCATCTGACATGGACGTGTACAAGTGTGCAAAGGTGCGTGTGGACACGCACACACCTGAAAAGCATGCCTGAGCCTGTACGAGCATGCCCATGTGAGTGAGCACAAACGTGCATATATGTATGAGCATGTTGAAGCTTGTGTGAGTGTACATAAGTGTGCATGAGAACATACAAGCGTGCATAGTTATACTGGAGTGCTTCGAAGTATGCGTGAGCGTGCACAAGCGTGTGTGAGAATACACAAGTGTGCCCAAGTGCATGTGATAAGCCCAAGAGTGTGTGTGCCCAGGCATGTGTGAGTATGTCCGAGTGTGCCCGCCTGTGCCCAAGCACCCATGAGCATGCCCAAATGTGTGAGAGCATGCCCAAGCACACGTGAGCGTGCCTGAGTGTGCCTGAGCATATGTATGCACAATCATGTATGAGCATGTGTGAGCACACCCAAGGGTGAGTGTGCCCAAGTGTGCATGAGCATGCTGAAGCAAACGTGAGTGTGCCCAAGCATGTATGAGTGTGCCCAAGCAGGCAGGAGCGTGCCCAAGCACATGTGAGCGTGCATGTGTATGTCCAAGCATGTGTGAGCATGTCCAAGCATGCATGGGTGTGCATGAGCAAGCCCATGTGTGCATGAGGGTGCCCCAGCACGTGCAAGTGTGCCCGAGCTTGCCTAAGTGTACAGAATCATGCTGAAGCATGCATGAGCATGCCAAAGTGTGCAAGGATGTGTGTGAGCTGGTCCAAGTGTGCATAAGCATGCCCAAGCATGCTGAAGTGTGCCCAAGCGCGAGTGAGTGTGCCCAAGCATGAATGCCTATGTCAAGGTATGCATGGATGTGTGTGAGCATGCACAAGCGTGTATGAGTGTTTTTAGCCATGTATGAGTGTGTCGAAGCATGCATGCACATGCCAAAGCAAGCGTGGATGTGTGCAAGCGTGTCCAGTATGCATGAGCTTGCCAAAGTATGCATGCACATGTGTGGGTGTACACAAGCATCTGCAAGTGTGCACGAGCATATCCAAACATGCGTGAGTGTGCCAAAGCATGCCTGGATGTTTGTGAGCATGCACAAGTGCCTGGAAGAGTGTCTTTGAGTGTGCATGAGCATGCCAAAGCGTGCCTTATTTTCCTGAGTGTGCACAAGTGTGTGCGAACATGCACAAGCATGCACGAGCACACCAAAGCATGCATGAATGTTTGAGTGTGCACAAGCATGCAGCGTGCAGGGTTGTTTGAGCTTGCCCAAGCGAGTGCAAGCATGCCTAAACATGTACGAGCGTGCCAAAGTGTGCATGGATGTTTGAGCATGCCCAAGCGCGTGCAAGCGTGCCCAAGCACGCACAGGCGTGCGCTACGACACCGTTGTCACCCTGGGGTGCCCACAGGCTGCCGCTCGGGGGTGGTGGAGGTGGAGCGCAGCGTGACGGCGGTGCTGGGCCAGGACGTGGTGCTGCCGTGTCACTACCGGGCGCAGGAGGGCGAGAAGGTGGTGCAGGTGACGTGGCTGAAGCAGGGCCCCGCGGGGCGCAGCGCCGAGCTGGCCGTGCTCAACCTGGAGCACGGCGAGCACGTGCAGGAGTCCTACGCAGGGCGGGTGCTGTGGCGGGCGCCCGGCGCCCTGGAGGACGGCGCCATCGTCCTCAAGAACGCCGTGCAGGGCGACGAAGGCGACTACGAGTGTCACCTCATCACATTCCCCATGGGCAACTTCGAGGGGCGCCTCACCCTCAAGGTGCTGGGTGAGTGCCGACGGGTGGGCACGGGGCGGCGGACAACGGGCACCGGGACTGGGAACAGGGACTGAGCACGGGGCAATGGGGACTGGGAAGAGGGACTGGGCACCAGGGCAATGGGGACTGGGAATGGGGGTGTGGGGACTGGGAAGAGGGACTGGGCACCGGGGCACTGGGGACTGGGAACCAGGGCAATGGGGCCTGGGCACCAGGGCACTGGGAATGGGGCAATGGGGACTGGGAAGAGGAACTGGGCACCAGGGCACTGGGGACTGGGAATGGGGCCTGGGGACTGGGAAGAGGGACTGGGAATGGGGCAATGGGGACTGGGAAGAGGAACTGGGCACCAGGGCACTGGGGACTGGGAA